AATTTTGAAAGAAGAGAAACATTTTTTATAATAAATCATTTCAAAAAAATAATATCAATAATAAAATAATGCTTTGAAATCAACGAAAAATTATCGATACTTTAGAATAAGAAAGAAAAATTTTATATTTACAATTATAATCGACATTGCAATTAACATTCGTACATGTAATTACTTCTTTCAATGTTGTTTCCATCAAGTATCCATTTGATTCACTTCAAGTGAATCGAATTCAAATAAGTTGATTAATATTTCTGAAACGTATATAATAAAATAGCTATTCTTCAAGAATTATTATATATTAAATTAATTATATATTAAACCAAGAAATATTCTTTCTCGAGGACCAGTTTCCATTTTTCATGGACTTTTTCTGAACATTTTTCTGAAACGAATGAAGATATGATTCCTTCGATGAGGTTCGTTCATAGTCATTAAAGGCTGTTACGCAAACGGCGCGAATGTGAAGAGGTTTTGTTCGAAGGGAGGACCAGCATCGACGATTCTCGTATTGTTCACCACTTCGCGCTTTAATTACGCGGCGCAATGAACTTCGTAACTGGTTTCCGGACTTCGACCACCCCTATAACCGGGCATACACACGCACAAATTTCCTCTCCATTTTTTCTTCTCTTCTCTCTTTTTTTCGAGCATTTTCTTTACGTGCATATATATGTATAATGTAAATCGATTCTTCGTTCTGCTCGATTGACTATGGCATCGGGTTACTGCAACGTTGCGATAATAATACCTTCGCTAGCTCTAAAAACCGGAGCGCATCGATTTTTTTTCAACATGACGTTGGTCATGATTACACATTTTATTTTCGAATGCAGATTTTTAGGACATATTGATCTACGTTTATGTATTACGATTGAACAATTATAGTTTTAAAATCAATGTGATATCCGAAGAAGATTAAAGTTAAGTTATGAGAAAATTGATAGAAAAATGATAAATATTAATTAAATAATTATGATAAATTAACTATTTGGAAAACTAGTTTTGAAAAAAAAAATTTTATTTATTATATCGATATTGTAATGATATGAAATACTTTTAAAAGATAATATAAATTAACTGCATATTCCAATGATATTTCTTATCTTTATAAATATAATCTATAAATTTAAATAAATATCTTTTATTTTAAAGTTATTTTAAACTTATTCCAAAGAATTATTAGTAGTATTAAAATATTTTCTTTGATTTTTTAAAGTATATTCTTTTTATTTATCTATCATTTCTTTAATTATAAATAATAGTTTTCATTCTATGGAAAATTAAAAGATATATTTACACTAGAATTCGAAAATCTATATTTGAGAAAGTCATTAACAAGAAAAATATTCGAAATTAAAATTATTAAGCCATTTTGAATATCAAATTTATAGAAACAAAAAAGAGAGATTGAAATTCGATCACTGGAAAAATCGTCTAATTTCTGGAATAATTACAAATAAAGATTCGAGCTCTATCAATTGGTCGGAATATTTTCTTTTCCTATAAAAGATTTGTAAATGATTTTATTTTATAAATGTTTATTTCATTAAGAAATAATTTTTATTTTAAAATAAATATTTTAAATACAATATAATACAATATATTTTACAGTATAATTATCTGTCAATTATAATGGAAATATAAAAAAAGAAGAGCATAAACAATAAAGCATAAAACACGAAAAAAAAGTAATAATATTACTTGCTATTATAAAAATAACATAAATTCTATTTATCTTAATTCTCATAAAATGTAACAATTTTATTTTATATCATGATTTTATTATCTATTATTAACAATAGAAGGTTATTTTTTAGTTATTTTTAATTAATTATTCAAATATCAAATCATTTACATATCAAATATTAAAGAATAAAAAATAACTCTGATGAAAACCTTCATGACAATCATAGTATTTAATCAATTTCACGAATCGGCTTTGTATAATACAATTTGATTCAATTGGCGTGGCTAATAACGATTAATGCTTAACAATGTCTTAAATACATGAAAGTGGAAAACTGTTTAGTAAATAGAATAGAATGTAATGTTAAATCGACGAGGAATAAAAGAGGAAAGGGAAACCTCAACGGGATAACTTATGTAATCCCATTGAGCTTCGTTTCGCAAAGCTTTGTACCGAAAGCTGGTTTGTATACCACGAACAAAGCTTTTTCACTGATCTGATTAATATCACCAGCATGCAGAGAGCACATAAAACAAAAGAAAGTAGATTGCCACGTGGAATGCATGATAAATATAGAAACGGTCGGGATAAATGCAATAAAAACTATGTAGGTTTCTGAACTGGCTAATCGATATTTTACGATAGCCCTTAGTCGCCATGAGTATATTCGCGTGCGCCGCTAACGAATTTTATTTACCAAGAAAAAGAGAAAAAGAAAAGATTCCTAATTTTCCGCGAAATAATCAATGTGCAGAATGCACGAAAATTCGAAGCATTTCTTTGAATCTTTAATTTTATTCCATAAAGGCATAATTTGAGCACAAATAATATCGATTTATATTTTCCAATCTCTTCATTTTCTAATTGTTTATTTAATAATTTTGATAAATAATAAAAAATAATATGTGATTTATTAATTTATTAATAAATCATTTATTTTATTAAATTTTTTTGTTATATACGTCAGTAAGTTATAATTAAATGTATAAATATTTATGAAATTAATGTACTGAATACTGAATATTGATATACTGAATATAAATTTTACAGATTGGAATAAATATCTGTTAAACTTGCAAAAAATACTATATTGCAAATATTTGAATTTGAATTGAAAATTTGAAAAGAGAAAATGTATTTTATTAAAAAAAAAAATTCATTCAAATTTATACAAATAATTCTTAAAATCATATTAAAAATGAAAACTATTCATTTCATATTTAAATATAAATTATGTAAAGAAAAATATACATATAATTTTCGTAAATTTTTTATCACATATTCATTACAAATTGAAATGTATTTGATCCAATAATATAACATTAATTTATATATATATGGATATCAAAAAGAAGTATCGATAACACAATAAAAAAAAATATTTCATAAATGAAAAAAATTTTTGTAATGAAACTTTCATTATGAAATTTTTATTTATAACTAAATTAAAAAATATATCGATGGTTGGTCATGTAAAGAGAAAGCATACGAATGAAAGCTGCTGATGACAAAAGCTTTCGATCCCGAATATATCACTATAATCACTATAAACACAGCAATATGTACGATCAATAATATCAGTCATAAATCTCAAACATACAGAATTCTAACATTAAAACGATATCAAAAATATGGTGTGAATAAATAAAAAATTAAATATGAAACAGAGAAACAGAGAGATTGAAACAATATACTGGTGGAAAAAAATTCCACCAGATAAGTATAACCAAAAAGTTTCTAAGTATATCGACTTGTAATTTTTTCTAGTTCCCCTAATAAAATTATTGTAAAATAATGTGAAATACAAATTACCAGAAGGATCAAAAAGGAAATTAAAGGTACATCGTCAAACAGGAAGTTGCAAAGAAATGAGGAACGTGCAGATGCCTAAGTTTGAATCAATACAATAAGTGGGCCAGGTAGGGGTGTATAAGATCGCCCGAGGAGACAGAGGAACGGCCGGGAATGTGGGACAGTTTCGGTGCGTACAGAGGAACGTGCGAAACGGAGTGATCAAAAGGCGCGGTTAATTTCGGATTTCTCATAATTTAGATTCTTATCAAAATAATTTCAATCTTGATATATGGATGAAGAAAATCAAACAAATAATTTCTAACAATATCATGCAATCTGGCATATGATACTGAAATCTACATTATAAAATTAATATTATAAAATAGAAATATTATAAAACTTTATAGTATGAATAATTGATAATAAAATATTAATATTTATATTTCCAAACTAATCTAAATATAAATCTTCAAACACATATCATAAAGTTAAGGATAAATATTAATTACTGAAAGTGTTATATAATTTGTAACAATATATAATCGGATTATAAATAAATTTTAATATATATCAATTATATAATGATACTTCATTTCGTGCTCTAAAAAACTGTTATTAATGGTGTCTGACAATGTGAATCAACTGAGAATAATGTTTTGGACCAGTGCCGAGTAGAGGAAACAACGTGTGTCAGTGGAACATTGTTTAGGGGGGGAACAAACACTTCCTTTGCCAGATAGGATATATTTGCCGGGACAGTGTCCGTTATATTACATTAGACGCATATAAAGTTAATCTCATTTGTCGAGGTTTATCGTTGCCGTTATAATATACCATAACGGTATTTTATAAATAAGATAATGTTCTTTTTGCAGGTGCAACAAAATTAAAGCTCTAAAATCCATGAAACCGTATTGGTACTATCAATGCATCGATTTTAATAACAAAATTGAACCATAATTATTTTTTCAAACATTATTCTATTTTAATACAATTTAATATTCATATTTTTTAATTAATTACAAATAATCACAATTATCATTCATTTAAATCATTTTCCATGTATATTTCAGAATAAAATTCATTATCTGCAGCTAATAAAATAATAAACGTTGATAACTTGATAATGATATATGAATACAAAATAGAAAAATATTAAAAATTGTACGAATTTTCTATTTTCTATGAAATTATATATAATCTTTTCATTAATCATAATACAAAAAACGTATGAAATCATGCATGTAATCAATCAACATAGTTCGAAACGCCGTCACGAGACACGGTGATGTACCTAACCTGGCCTGCCGGTGTACATACCTTGGACGCTTTTGATGCGCGTGTCTCCAGGAAGGGTGAGAGGAAAAAAGTGCCGACGATGTGGGGTCGCCGTCCCCGTGTCGACAAAGGTTCCTTTCGTATCGTTATATCACATACGCGATGTCATTAGGACAACTGCTGTTCTGAGAAAGTTGCCTGAGTGGCGATGCAACGACACTTCTCGTGGCACTCAAGTGGCTATTGCTACTCTGAACACGGGACAGAACTGTCAAGAAAACTAAAGGCGTCGATTCTATAAACTGTTACAACAAATATAATTTATCCGTATAATTTTCACACGAATATGTAATAATACTCGGCCTGCTTCGAATGAAAGTCACTAAATTTTACTTAACACGAGAATCTTGCGGTAAACAAACTCAATGCAATCTCGACGTAATGTGCATCACGAGCCTCGCGGCCATCACTAATTTCAACTGGCACTGTTAGTGGCGCCATCGCCTCTTTAGACGGAAGAACAAGGAACTGGACTATTGCGCGCGCGATAGTCGCGAATAATGGCGAAATATGTGAGTATTTATCATACAAAATTAATTCAAAAGATTTTTCTTATTTATTTTATTTTTATTTAAAAAATATTCACTCATAACAATATTTAAAAATATCTTATTTGATATAATGATTGAATTATAATATATAATTAAATTATAGTTTAATCAGATCATTTTTCATGAATACTTATTTTACGTAAATATACAAGAAGAAATACATTTCATACGACAATAATTTAAAAAGATATTTTTAGTATTATTGAGCAAAAAATTTGATATTTTAGCTATTAATTGTTTCTTTTACAGTTAAAAATTTTATTTTTTAAAATTGATAAAAATACTCATAAATTAGGGTCCTTTCTCATTGCCACGAGTATATTGTAAATAATTAGCACTTGAATAATTGCATAACTCACAAAAACCAGGTAATCCTTGGGGTCCAGGTGGTCCTCTCATCCCAGGAATACCTGTCGATAAACGAAACTAAAAATACCTGAAGAAGAATTTAAAAACATGTTTTTAATTTTTTTTTCGTACCTGGTCTGCCTGATTCTCCACGTTCTCCTTGCCTTCCAGGTAATCCAATGCCATCATTGCCAGGTGGTCCTATTAACATAAAATGCATAAAAAAAAAAAATGCTAAATTTATCAAGATAATGATAGAAAAGAGTTTATGTATTACCAGGCGGTCCTCTTGGACCCATAGAACCTTCTACACCAACACCTTCCGGACCTCTATCACCCTTTTCTCCCCGTTCACCAGGTGGACCTTGAGGTCCTATATGACCTTGTGGTCCTGGTAAACCAACAAAACCACGTTCCCCAGGCAAACCTGGAAGACCTGGATCACCTAAGAATAATTTTCCATTATAAATGAATTCTAATCTTAAGGTAAAAAATATATTATTAAGATATTTAATATTATAAGCATGCATTGCTAACTACTTATAACTATATTTTTATTACTATATAACTATATATTTTCCATTATAAATTAATTCTAATTTTAAGATAAAAAATATATTATTAAGATATTTAATATTATAAGCATGCATTGCTAACTACTTATAACTATATATAAATTAAATATTATATTTTCTTTTTCTAATTTTCTTAAGTTAATTTTAATATAATTTCAATAAGGAATAATTAATTAATTAGATTTATCTAATTTAATTAATTAGGTTAGATTAAATCACTATAAAAAGCATAAGAAGACAATAAAATTAGGATATTTCATCTCAAGTAGGTACCTGGGATGCCTTGGGTTCCGGCTCGACCAGGACGGCCCTGTCGGGCCAACCCCGGCAACCCGGGTGGTCCTCGTAGACCTTCTGTTAATTCTTTCAGCTTCTCTGTGACACATGCAGGATTCCATCGTCTTTATCGACGTACACAGCCATGTGAGTTGTTAATCTCCGATCGATTGACTGTTAATCGAACGGACGTGCGTGTAGGTACATAAATCACATATTGATGAATGCTAATTCTAACTACGGATGAAGGTGGAACTTCAAGCAATTCATGACAGAATAATGACGACGAATATCATTGTGATATTTCAGGAATGCTAAGGATATTATTGTGCAATAACTATTCACCATTTATTATGGATTTTTGGAATTATTTTAAAAATGAAAAAAATAACAAAAATCCATAACAATATCACCATCATGTTCTATTGTGATTTTAGGATCGAATGCAGGCAAATTAAATTGGTAATCCTTTTTTGGGGGATATACCTGGACGACCTTGTGGACCAGGTGATCCAGGACGACCTGGACGGCCTCGGCCAGGTGGACCAGGTGGACCTTGTATTTGTGCTGCCATCTCAGTCATCTGCTCTATATACGTAGCAGCAATAAAAGGAATAGTTATTTTTCTATTTTTTTTTCTTTATATAAACATTATACAAAGAACAGGTCACATTAGATGTATAATATATATAAAAGTATATATAACACTTTTACTATTCCAACATTTTATACTTTTGTCATTATTTTGACATTTCTTAGACAATCAGATTCTTTATTGTACCTATAATTATTCAATTTTATTATTTTAGATAATGTAATGATAATTTCCACCTTTTATTCTATTTCAATAAAATAAGTGAAGTAGAGTAAGTATATAAGTAATATTAGTAGAAGTAATATTTAAATATCTACCTCGTAACACACTGGCACATATATCTCGAATTTCTGAATCAGTAATACTACGGCCTGGTGGTCCTTGAACTCCTGGTATTCCAGTTTGCCCTCTAATTCCTGGTGGTCCTTGAAGTCCTGGACTTCCATCTTTTCCTGGCATTCCAGGTAATCCTATTTTACCTTCTGGACCTCTTTCTCCAGAAGGTCCTCTCTCACCTGGCTAATTTTTTATAAAAATATGGACTTCAGAATTTTAGAATAATATTCAAATTTTAAAAAATAATAAAATATTTAAAAATAAGCGAAATTATTCTGATTTAATAATTAGAATACTTACTAATCCTGGTGCACCTGGTAGACCTCTAGGTCCACTAACTCCTGGATTACCAATAGTTTCTAATACATTATTTGTACTTAACATGTCTGTAGTAGTTCCAGGTGAACCCGGTGGTCCAGGAGGTCCTGGAGGACCTGGTAAACCTGATCGTCCGTCTAATCCTGGAATACCAGCAATTCCAGGTAAACCTGGCGCACCCTAAAAAATCGAAAAATCTTTTTTCTTTCTATTTTTTTAAATTTTAAAAATTAAATTATGAATAAAACATAAATATGATTTGTTTAATAACAACAAAAAGTTAAACTTACAATACTTCCAGGTAAACCACGTGGCCCGACAGATCCTTGTTCTCCTTGCTGACCTTTATCACCTTTATTTCCAGGTTGTCCATCGCGTCCTGGTAATCCTGGTTTTCCAATAGGGCCATCTATTCCTTGAGGACCCGGAGAACCTGGTTCTCCAGATAAACCCTAATGATAATTCAATCAAATTTGCCTTATTATTTATATAATAAAAATTGAAACAAATCTTAATTACTTATTAAAAAACTAAATTCGACATTCAATTTAATATAAATTTACTTGTAATCCTGGTGGTCCTGGAGAACCAGGAGGACCGTTTTTTCCTTGTAATCCTGGAAGACCCGGTGGACCAATAAGACCAGGTTCTCCTTTTATTCCTGGAAGACCGTCTTCTCCAGGTATTCCAGGAGAACCTTGAGGACCAGGCAGTCCTGGTACTATTGAACCAACTATTGAACCTGGTAAACCTAAATAAATAAATTTAATATATTAATAATTTATATAGAAAATATTAATTTTTAATTTAATTTACAAACCATCACGACCGGGTTCTCCAGCTTCTCCTTTTGCTCCTTGAATTCCAGGAGCGCCAATTTCACCTGGAGGACCTGGCAATCCCTGCGGACCTGGTATTCCAGGAAATCCCATTTCTCCTTTAAGACCTGGAAAACCAGGAAGTCCTGATTTTCCCTCTATTCCAGGAGATCCATTTTGACCTGGATAACCTTTTTCTCCTGCTTCACCTTAAATTAATAGATATAATGATTTAGCCTTTGAAAATATAATTATAGTTTTTATTTAAAAAATTTACTTAATAATTTAATTTAAAAATAAGTATAAACGTTTTTATAATTTTGTTCTTTTTTGAATTTTTTTAAACTAGGTCATTTAAAAACTAGGTAAAAATTCTGCAATTAGATATATGTTAAAAGTTAATAGTCTCTTCTATTTTGAGAACGAACATACATTTAGTGATTAATAAAAGCAATGGGTTTACGAGTATTGCAACAGATTGCAACAAATTGATTTACAATCACTTTGAATAGCTGTATTTAGGTCGATGTCGATATAGATGATAATATATTGTTTTTGTGTCACTCATCAGAAAATACTAGAATTATAGTTTTTGATATTTGCTTTTAGATATCAGTGATCAAATCAAAGAAAGAAAAAGTAATATAGGAGAAAATAATATAAGATCAAATTTTTAATATATTTTTAATTGGATGATTTCTGTTATTTCACGATTGAAAAGATAGTATTTATCTATTAAAATTGTTCGATTAAAATTTATCTTTTAATTATTGTACTATTAAAATATTTTTAATCTTTCTATTTTTTCCTCAACTTATATTAATTTATTACTTTAACTTATTTCAATTTATTTAAAAAAACAAAATTATAAGTAGTAAATATATATAAAATTTTCTTTAATTTTTTTCTATTACATTAATTTTTTAATAACTTTTAAGAATAATTTTTCTATTTATTTTAGATTTAAAATTCATGTACATGTGAATATGCATAACATTAAACATTAAATTTATAATTGATATATTTTATACAGATTTATAAGAAGAGAAAAAAAGAAGAAAAAAAGAAAATAGAATAAATGGAAATATGCTAGTTAGATAATTGAAGCCATTACTTGATTGCGCTCGACCTTTAAATATGAGACTATTGACATAGTTTATTGAAAAGAATCATTCCTTCAAAAGTGTCAATGATCTTTTGTAACGCTGTAATTAATGCATTAACTGATTCGAAAAAAATTCATTTATTATTCACTAACAACACTTTCAATCAAGAGACAACACATAATATAAATTATAACAAAAATTTTTATTATATAAGAAATTATATAAGAAATTCATATCCATGAAACAAATTATTTTTAACAAAAATATGAATAATTATATAATTACCAAATTTTCTTTATTATTGAACTTTTTGGATACTAGAAAATAAGCACTCCATGTTCACTGGCAGAATAATATATTTAACGATGAATCACTATCGTGCACGTGGATAATGGATCCACAACTCCACGCGATTTTCTAACAAGATTAAATTAGTTTACGCTACAGTTCAAGGATTACTTATCTGATAAATCCATGTAATCGTATTTAACACGAACAATTAACATTTGACACAACCATAACAATCTAAGGAAGAAACTTTTAATAAAAATAAATATTTTAATTTTTAAAGCCATTACCTTTTTGGCCTTGTTCCCCTTTATCGCCGCGATTCCCTTTCTCTCCTTTTGAACCATTTTGGCCTGGATATCCTTGAGGATCTGGTAATCCTGTAAATCGTGATAAAGAATCGCGATAATCGCTAATATTTCCTGGAGGTCCTGGATAACCTCGTGGCCCTGGAAGACCTTGATCTCCTTTCAATCCTGGAAATCCCATGTCACCCTGCAAAAAACAAGCTGTAAGCAAAATGTAAGTATCTTAATCAATTATATTAGTTAAGAGTAAATTCAAAAAAATGATTAGTCAAAAGTGACGTAATATATAAATGTAATGTATAAGCCCACTCTTTCCCCACGTTCTCCTTTTGGACCAGGTGGTCCAATAGGTCCAGAAGACCCCTTAGGACCTGGACCGCCAGTAAATCCTCGTGCACCAATAAACCCCTGCGGCCCCTAGTAATCCCATAATAATTTACAATAAAACAGATATACAATATATATCATATATTTTTGTTTTAAAAATATCATTATTTATTATTAAAACACTCACTATTTTGCCTTGCTCGCCAGGTGGTCCTTGTAAACCCGGATGTCCAGGTATACCGGGTTCTCCAATTGGTCCAGGTGGGCCAGGTAATCCGGGTAGACCAGGTAAACCCTAAATAAATATATTAATTTAAAAAATAAATTTTAACTCCTATGTAACCTTAAGATCTCATCTCAGATTATACAAATATTTGAGCTTGAATACATGAGTACTCACTTGATGAATTTATTTGAATACTCAAATACACATTCAAAAATCTATAAATACTGGGATTATTATTATAATTCTAACCGGATATCCGTGATATTCGATACAACTTTTTTTGAAATCTGAATATCCCGATTTATGTTATTGTATTAAAAAAAATTAATTTTAAT